CAGCTCCTGCCAGTCCTATTAGTTGATAAATATAATATAATCTCTTTGTTTTAGTCAAAGCATCATGTGTCTTTCCTCATCTGCTGAGGTCTCAGAGCTGGGTCATAGCAGGGTCCTCTCTTCAACCTTAAATGAGACTTGAAAAACTTTTGATGCTCGTTGTTTGGTACCTTTATGAACCTTTAGATTTAATCTTCTTTAGAACCATCATTGTGTTTTTGGAATTGTTGTCATCCTTGTGTTCGGTTTTTAGATTTGTGTCTCAAGTTATTTGTACTTTGTGTTTATCACTACCTGTTTTATTTTGTACTTCATGTTTGAAAACCCGTCACTTCCTGTTTTTGTTGATTACCTTCCTTGCTTTGATTAGTGTCACCTGTGTGTTTCCTCTGTTCTCTGTAAGTTTTTCTCGTCAGTTTTCTGAGAGCGTACCAGCATCTTCCCAGTGTTTATTTATCGGTACCTATAACTACGTTTATCAAATGTGCTGTTTGTGTTTTAGACACATCTGCCTGATCTGACTGCCTACCATCTCTACAAACTCGTAAGTCTGCTTAAACACTATAAATCCTCACATTATTAGAGAATAAACCAGATATAAAAACAGAATTAATTATTTGATCTTTTTTTTTTTACCCTATACTGACAATACAGAGCTAACTTTCTTGTTGGTGTGTGAAACCTTTTTTGTAAAGCATGTTGCTGCATAGTACATCAAAGTTCTGTGGTGCAATTCCAGATGTTCTGTGAGAGCTGTGGCAATTCTCCCTTTTCAGAGTTTGTGTACCAGCAAAACTATATTAAAGCCATGATTTTAATGTTAGAAAATACATTTACCCCCTTCATTCATTCTTTACACGTAGTTTGAGTCTGTTATGTTATCACTTTATTTCACTGTTTTTCATATTCACTTTGGTAATAAGTTAATTTTATTCTTTATACACGTGCTGTAGTTGTGAGTTTTGCACATTGAGTCAGAGCCATTTTTGCAATCCTGACATAACCCAGCAGGATTTGTTGATCAATGATCTTCAGAGGCAGAAATTTGTCCCACTGAACAATGCTGCTGTTTCACCTTGGTTCCAGTCTTTGTGCTAACCCTTTGCTGACTATTGCTTCATAATCACCATACAATCATACAGAGGTAAGAGTGAGATTGTTTTTTCTCTTTTTAAAACCAGTGAATAACATAACCACAGGTGCCTTTGTTCCTGTAAGAATTTCGTAATCCTTAATGACTATAAAAACATCAATGGTTTAGCGCTTCTCTTTTTTGTCCTCTTGAGACAAAAGGAAGCTGAAATCACTGACTTGTCGGGCTAATCATTTACTCGAACATTTTGTACTTTTCCAGAGCATAGGTGGAGTGGAGTGTTAAAACTCTCTTCCTGTAACAATAAACACTTCCCAAATGTGAGTCTCATCAATTTGTGCATTGTTTTGTGTGTTTAAACTGACATGAACCATCCGTGACGTCAAACGCATGTATGTGATGTTATGTCCATCCTAACTTTGACCACTTCTTAAAGCTCCAGTGTCTAAGATTTAGGTGAAAGGGAACTATTGGCAGAAATTTAATGTAAAATAATCCTCATGATGTTTTCACCAGTTCGTTTCATCTAAATTGTATGAATTGTAATTTTCTTGATCCCGGAAAAGGCCCTTTATATTTAAATACTTTATATTTACATCGAGGGGACCCTCTCTACGGAGGCCGCCATGTTTTTTACATTAGTCCAGACTGGACAAACTAAACACCTTTTGAGTTTTTATAACAACTGCAGGTTACCACAGGTTCTTTTTCATGTTTGGAAGGAGAGGGTGAGGTGAGGGGTTTGCAGCTGCAATTTCAACACTAGATATCACAAAATTCTACACACTGTACCTTTAGACAGTTTGTTACTGTACAGTGTAAAAACAGGGTTGCCCACTGAGAGAATGTTTGTTATTGATAATGGTGATAACCTGTCCTGTAGTGGCCTGCTTTATCAAAGAGAGCAGTGGAGGAGTCGTATAAACTTTTAGCTCAGATAGATGGTCTCCTAACTGCCCTCCCTGCTTTTATAACACTGCCTGGTCTGGTTTATGGCAAGCGGTGAAGATTAAACTGTTGGGAAATCCACCCACAAATTGGACTCTCTCAGATAGGAAGGCCAGATGTAGGAGTAGAGGACAGCATGCTATGTGGAGTAGGGGCCAAGTATGTTGTCACTACCCTGGTGAATGCCAGTTTTTATCATAATTGTGATATAACAGTGTGAAGATAAGCATATCTGCTGCATGTGCCAGACTTGTCCTTTTTAATGTGCTAACGTGCTCTGGTGAGAGAATAAAGTCCCTGATCCACCAGTCAGATCCACTAACATCTGGGTTTTGTCTGCAATGGGAATGGATCCAATCTGCATTTTCTCCCGTGTGATGTGACTCTGCAGTAGACAGGGTTTTATTCAGTACTAATGGAAACGTGACACCCAGTGAACACGCACATTTGGCAAGACAGCGAAGTGAGAGTGCATCTTAGAGGCAAAGTTCTTTACTATGGATAAGAAGTCAGTAAAAATCTTTAGTCTATTTACTTGCATTTAAAAGAACACCCACGTGAACTTCACAATTTTGTTGTTAAAGCTATGTGAGAATCAGCCGCCACATAAACTTATTGTTTTATTGGTAGTTACTGCCTGGCTTGATTTGTTAAAGCTGGTCGATGATGTATGATACACTGGAGGAATAAAGAGACAGAAGATACTTATTCCTTATTTTTACTGAGAATTTTCAAACTCACAACATTGAACATTCAATATATTGTTGTTGTTGTGATGCATTGAAGGAATCTTCTCAAAAACATAAGCTAAGAGGCCAATACTCTTTCTGGAGTCCAGCCCAGAGTTTTGATCATTTCAAGAAAATCGCTTTCAGGACACATTGTTGCAATTTGTACACATTTTATCTAACCATGTTCTTTTCTGATACCATTCAAAGTTTTAAAGTTCAGCAGGAATTACTGCTGTTGTTTCCTTTGCTGAGCTCCTTGATTCCAGTCCACTGACTCAATCAGCAAAGTGACCCCTGTGTTAGCTGATAGTAAAGCTCGCAGATCAGCTCTATCACAAAAGCAACAAAACACACACAGTCAGATTTGCTCAGCCATGGAGTTCACCCTTGGTTTATATGGCCCCTGAGAAAATTAGTTAATTATTACATCAGGTTGCCACCAGATAAAGTAACTGACAATGGCTGTGACAAACACAGATCACTGCGTCTGACATTTCTTACTGAAATCACTGGTGTTGTCAAAGATATTTCTGAATATACTTCCTTGTGGTTGTATTCATCAGTACCTGGTCACTAAAGTTTACTTTATTCAGCGTAAAAAAGACCTCTACAACCAGTTAGGCCTCAATAGTAAACCATTGGTTCACTCTGGCAATGATTCATTGATAAATCTCTTGTAGTATTTAGATATGATTTATTTAAAAAATGTTTACCAATTTCCCAGTGAATAATTCTTGGATCTTGATGAAAACAAATCAGGCATATTTAAGGGAATGACATAAGTGTGTAAAATTTGATGCAGCTTAATTGAATTATGGGAGAATATTGAGCCTTGGTGGAGGTGTGAACATGTTTTAATGTTTTTTAATATGGCCTTCAAAATGAAACCTGATTTGCATCATGACTGAAATGCTTTTTATTCAATTACAGTTGCACTTCAGATTATTTGATGTGATTATTATCATATTGTGAACTTGTAGATTAATGTACTGTATAATTTTGCCTATAGTAGTTTTATAAGTGGTAAAAAAACACATTGCTCTGACATTGTTTGATGGTGTTTCTGAACATACGCACCAGTCTTTAGGTGCAATACATGACAGAATCAACTTCAGTTTCAAGCACGTACATGTACAGGAGAAAAGGATGTGAACAGTTTTATTGTCATCTTACCTGCTCATTAGCCTATAATTTAACAATTATAGGCAGCTGCAATAACTAAATAAATTTTCTTTATCTCCAAACACAGAACGTGTCAATTGCCTGATAGGGCCGACTTTTATATAGGCAAACTAAAGACTACACTTTACAGTGTTGGTGCTCCATCAAGAACCAAAACGAGAACAACAAAAAGTTGTTCCGAAGTTTGGATGCCAGCGTCCCGGCTCTCAGTGAGACTATTTTACTGTGAAAGTGAATTCAATTGTGTGTGCAAATATAAGGGAAAAATAGATAGATTACATTACATGAAAGTGTTTAAGACAAATAGACTTTATGTCTGATTTAACTGTAACATGTACATATTTTAAGACCGGATGCTACGTCTGAGTGCTTCTCTCTTTAAAGTCAGGTGAGACATTTACGTCTCATTCACAATATCATCGTTTTTAAGACATGACTGATGAAATGCATCAAGATTCACCGTCACACTTGCGAGAAAGGCAAAATGCATTATGGGAACTCTAGTTCCCCCGTTGACACTCAGCTCTTCAGAAAACTCTCAGGATTCAGGGGGTAGTTTTGAAACAGCGTTTAGGTTTTCGAGGGTATTTTTAAGTGCCTTAGGTCTTCATGGGTTAATAAGGTTTGTAATTGTATACATTGGCTTGTTCTATGAACATTTTACTGTATCACAACAAGGCAGGGCCTGAGATCCTCCAACAGGGCCCTGATAACAGCTTCAATACCTCCACTGGTTACTAAAGATGACCTTTGCTATCCGGGCCCAAAACCTTGGAACTCCCAGGCTGGAGATCTCAGCCAGTGTCTTCTTTTAAATCTCTTCTTTAGACTCATTTCTATCATATAGCTAATTTTTAATTGTTGCTATATATCTTTAATTTAAA